CCTCCTTGGGGGTCTCCGTTGTCCCTTGGAGCCATCTTTGGGCCATCGTGGGGCCTCCTGGAGGTATCTTGGAAGCCATCGTGGGCCAATCTGGGCCACACTGCGGCCTACTGGAGGCCATCTTAAAGAGCCCGGGGCTACCTTGTAGCCCCCGTGGGCCAACATTCTCAGAAGGGTACCACCGAAAACCCACCAGCTTTCAAAACCCTTGGGGATTTCAATGTTTGTGTTGATCAAAGAGGGGGTGTTCTCAATTCGTGCCCCCCCCTCTGGAACCCCAACGTCGTCTCTTGGGGCGCGCTTCGGGTGGTCTCGGGATCATCTTGGGGCCCTCTTGGGGCCATCTTGGGCCCCGAGCCTAACGGAAGCGAAAGGGCGAGTGGGCCAAATTCATTGATGCACCTAAGGGATTTGATTGATTTTGGCCTCTTGGGGGCCTCTTGGGGAGGCTCCGAGGCCACTTGGACCCGTTTTGGGCTGGTCTTGGGGTCTCTTGGAGCATGTTGGAAGCCATTTTGAGCGATCTTGCGCTATCTTGGGCCATCTAGGAGGTCAACTTGGGCTCTCGGATGTCCTCTGTGAGCCCTCTTGAGCCGTCTTCGGCGCTCCAACGACCATCGACCCCACCCCGTCCAGACCCACGGGGAGGGGGTAGTCGGAGGGGTCAAGACACCCCCTAGATAGCAAGCCGTCTAGCTTACTCCCACCCGCCCTCCCAACACAGAAGTAGCACTCGAGCCTCAGCATGTTCAGGTCGTCTATGGATGGGCAGCTATTTGGAACCAAAACTGGCCCCATGTGTGCGAAGCCGGGGCGAGGTGCGCCACGCGTGCCAGGCGCGCCACGCGCGCCAGGCACCCCTGGGGCCCGAGCGTGCCAGGCACGCCTGGTGCGCCAGATGCGCTACGTGCTCCGCGTGTGCCAGGTGCGCCGCATACTCCAGCCGCGCTAAGGGACGCCACGGTCGGGGCACGTGCGGAGTGTGTCAGGTGCGCCTGCGCACGCGACAGCACACATCGGGAGATATGTCGGCCCCCACCATCCGTGTCGAAAACCAATGCCCATCATTGTGTCTGGTGGGCCTGCGCACAGCAGGCCATATGCCACCACTTGACAGTGATCGCGGGGCGGCCGCGCACGATCCAGATTTAGTCGCGAGGTGCATTGTGTTTTGTTTTTTGTCAGGGATGGTACCCCTGCGCGCAGCAGGCAATATGCTGACACCCCCGCCGTCCCTACCAAGCAAACAATACAAAGACTTTGCCCCGAAATGTATTTCGTATTGTTTTTTGACAGAGATAGTGGGGGGGCCGCATCGGGTTGGCCGCGCATGAAGCAGACTGCGTTTTGCATTGTTTTTTGACGGATGGGGGGGGCTCTCTTGGTGTCCTGATCGTTCCCAGTTCGTTGCCGGTCACCTGGGGCAGAGGGTGTATATGAATAGGGGACAGTGATCAAGACACCTTCCTAGATAGCAAGCCGTCTAGCTCACTCCCGCCCGTGCACCCAGCTAGACACCCTCCCCGCCCGCTGTCTCGCTCACTTCCACTCGCCCTTCCAACACATAAGTAGCACTCGAGCCTCAACATGTTCAGGTCGTCTATGGATGGACAGCTGCTGGAAAACAAAGCATATCCCACATGCGCGACGCTGGGGCGAGGTGCGCCACGCGTGCCAGGCGCGCCACGCGCGCCAGGTGCTCCATGCACCCTTGGGGCCACAGCGTACCAGGCACGCCTGGCGCGTCAGATGCGCCACGTGCTCCACGTGCGCAATGTGTGCCGCGTACTCCAGCCGCGCCAGGTGCGCCACGTTCGGGGCACGTGCAGATTGTGCCAGGTGTGCCCGCGCACGTGTCAGCACACATCGGGAAATTGTAGGCCCCCGCCATCCATGTCGAAAACCAATGCGCATTCGCGGCGGGGTGGCCATCATTGTGCCTGGTGGGCCTTCACACAGCAAGCGATACGCCAGCACCCCCGCCGGCCTCATCAAAAACCAGTGGACAGTGATCGTTGGGTGGCCGCGCACGACCCATATTCAGCCGCGGAAAATGTTGTTGTTGTTGTTGTCGTCGTCGTCGTCGTCGTCGTCGTCGTCGTCGTTGTTGTTGTTGTTGTTGTCGTCGTCGTCGTCGTCGTCGTCGTCGTCGTCGTCGTTGTTGTTGTTGTTGTTGTTGTTGTTGTTGTTGTTGTTGATGATGTTTTGTTTTTCCTTCAAAATGGACGGATGCCTTGTGTGCAGCAGGCAATATGAACGCACCCCCGACGCCCAAATCGAAAAACAATACGAAGTGTTCGCGGGGCCCATGAGCCCACGAGCATGACCAAAGAGTTTGCCCCAACGTGTGTTTTGTACTGATTGTTGAAAGGGATGGCGGGGGTAGTTTTCATTGGTTCTTGTTGGCAGTCGATCGCCTGGGGCGGAGGGTGTTAATTGATAGAGACCAGTGGTAAATCCTCCCCCGAAGGGGAAGAAAAGCGGGTTGGAATAGGAAGCG